ATTCGCTGTCCAGAGGGTGCACGCTTATTCCACGGAACTCACTGTCCACAAGTAATCAAACCAATGGGATGATTTCAGATGAAGATGAGAGCTCAAAAGACAGCGCCCACTGTGAGAAGCTGATATTAAGACTGGTATAAATGGTAGGAGGACTAAATTGACTTGGGTGTCAGCAAAGGCCTGAGTGGGGGTGTGGGGGATCTCATCAGTACTTGGGCTCAAACCGAAAAGAACTATGAGTGGAGCCATCTGGATAGTGTGGTTCCTAGCAGGTACAGCCAAAAGTAAGCTCCATGAGCCAAGTCATGTGCTTAGCATTGGGATAAAAACCCAAAGAAAGTATGGTTCTCCCTTCCAGGGCCCTCAGAGTATCTGTGGGCACTAACAGAAATCCATAAGGAACTCAATTTCCTAACTTGAGAGGGAAATTCTCTAAATCTACTGCAGTCTTCTGTGTTACTTATTGGAGCTGCCAAATCAAATCTCAGCCTTAATATGATACATTAAATAAGACTTTTTATTTTTAACTGGTCCAAGAAAACTGGCATGGTTCAGTTATCCAAGTCTAGACACAGATAGAGTAGAGATTCAGCCTCTGACTTGATCTATACCCAGGAAATAATTCACTTTTGTAGTGTCTGTTTTATTGGTGGAATGTCTGACCCAGGTTTCTCACTGGGCAGAATCACTGAAAGACATTCTGATATTTCGTGAAGGTCTGTACCTGGGCCTCCCCAGCCCAATAACCATCTCAATTTCTGAGATGCTCGGAGTTACCTCTACTTTGTTTGCTTTTCAAGACAAGGTTTCTCTGTATCCCTGGATGTCCTTAAACTCTTTGTAGACCAGGCTGGCCTTGAACTGAGAGATCTGCCTGCCTCTGCCTCCCCAGTGCTGGGATTACAGGCATGTACCACCACTACCTCTACGTTTTAATACTAGTTCTATGTGCTAAGCACTGAAAGCCTCCCTCCACCAGAGGGCGCTCTGCTCAGCTACTCCCCTCTTGCTGCCCCCATGTGTTAACCTTGATTGAGTGTTCACAGGCTGGCTTTAGGGAGTGGACCCTGAGCTTCTGAGAGCCAAGTCCAGGCCTCCATATCTTTCCCTCCACACTTCAACACCCTGCTCTATGAAAGAACCATGCAATCAATTGCTATTGTTTGATCATTAATATGTTATAGAATAAAGTGATAGGGAAATGCTATAAGCAGCGAAGGATAGTTTTGTTTTGTCTTCATTCATCTGTTTTGTAAGCCTCTGTCATCCAGGATGCTCATGACGTTAAAAGGTGTGATCTTTGCTTTCTAAGAATGAGCTCAGCCCACTTGGGAAGGCAATTAAACACGAGAAAAGAGGGAAAAATGGCAGACATGGAACACCACTGAAGGGAGACCCAGAATTCATCGGCCCCTGATAAGTCATGGGAAATCTCGATGGCTCAGGTCTGCTGAAATCACTCAGGACCAACACTCTAGCTCTGTCACTTGCTACTGGTGTAAGTTCAGATAAATGCTGCTCTTTGGGTCTCAACTCCTTGATCTGTAGAGTGGGAGATAATTTAATGAAATTCAGAGAGTAGGGAGGATTAACTGTCACTATGTACGCTTAGTTCACAGAACCATAGAGCGGCTGGTCAACACATGATGAGCTAGTCAACACAGGATAACACTGCTCAACTTAACATCACCATCACCATTACTAGGGCCTCCTACTAGTCTCACTTCAAAACCTCCTACCTATTCCATGTTAATCAAGTAAAATTTTGTTTGGTTTTTATTTTCTGTGAGAGGAGGAGCTACTCTAGGGATCCCATCAGGGATTCATATGATCCAAGTAAGCACTCTATCAATTGAGCCACATCCCAGGCCCAAGTGAGGCGTAATTCTTTATGGCAACGCCTTAGTCTTCCCATCTGTAAAATGTGATAATAATAGCAACTATAAAATAATTATTATTAGGATTCACTTACATTATTAGGAGGTTGAGACATTAGTGTACAGCGCTTTGGTATTCCCTAATACATGGTGACTCCTCAACACACTGGGTCTATGTAGTTGCCCATTCTGAGTCATGTGATCTCACCATCCATAGGAACACCAAGGGAAGGGCAAAAACGGAGGGAGACTGCAAATGCCGGAAATCCTGCACACATTGCCAACACCATTGTTTCCCAATAGCTCCATGGAGATCACTAGAGATAACTAGGAAAAGGAAAATAAACTTTTAAAGTTATTCAAAGTAGGATTTGTTGCTGAAACATTTATTCTTGAGGGACTACAAAAGATCTCAACGATGATACTTGGTGAGAACAAAGCAGAATAAAAGAAACTGGAGCTGAACGTCCTCTGCTGGTCATGAACGGAACTGCAGTCTTGGTGCGAGGAGGATGGGGTGGCCTTGCATGAAAGGGAAGGTGCTTCAGCCTCCCTACTTGTTGACAGGGAAGGAAGGAAACCAGTTTCATCTAGTGCACAGTTTTGAAGAAAAAAAAATATGAAATCACGAACCACTGGATGATGGCAACTCATAAACAGGCAAGGAGCAAATTTAGCAGTTTTTATGGAAACAAAGTAATGCATCCTAGGATCACTATGTGCGACTTTCCAACACAGAACAAGAAAAGGCAGGACATGTGTCTAAGAATTCAGAGCATCCACTCCCAAAAGTGCACCCTCGACAAGGAAGCCCTTCCGTGTTCGAGTGCAGTGCGATCTGAGAAGAGTGAGCAAACACCTGAAGGGCATGGGTGACACACACACACAGCTTGCCTGTTACACCCTGTGCCAGGTCTGACCACAACTCGTGGCCATGACTGATGTCTTGTATCATTCACACCCTGGTTCGTCTAATCCCTAGGTGTTATGGTTCCATCCACTGAGAGGGCCCCCCTCCTGAATGTCACAAAGACATTCAGCTCTGTGTGGCTGACACAGCATAGCAGGGGACTGGATGGACCTTTTATGCAAGGTTGGGTTGTGACCAATCCTGAGGTGTGCATACAGACACAACCTCACCATATCCACATACTGCCATATGGTGTCACACAAGACCACTGTGTGGAAAGTCTATGTGAAAACACAGAATAGCATTGGTGTGTGAAAGAGACAAAGGTGAGGGTGGAAAACAAGAGGAAAGTAGCCAGTCCACAATAATGGGCTGTGAGAAAGAAGCCCCCGACCCTGGCACCTGCTGGATATATCCACTCTCTGAAAAAGCCAGAACCTCCTGAGCCATAGGGCTATTGCCTGGCTGGGATGACATCTTGGGCCACTCTAATCCCCTTGTTTTCCTTAGAATGTGAGAGTCACTGCCAATGCCAATTGTCTACTTAAAGGCAATTCAAATCCCCAGAGCACTCACGACTTTCTTTTCTCTCTTTTTAATGTGTATGAGTAGGGGGATTTATTTGTATCTAAAATAATCCACATAGATAGTATCTCTATTTTGTTCCCGGAAGTCTCCTTCCTGCAGCCAAGGGTTAGTGTCAAAGGAGCCATCTAGAGAATATTAAATTTTCCTGACTATATTGTTTTAGAGGTTTGGGGGGGTTCTGTTGTTGGTGTTGGTTTTTTTTCTATTGAAGTAGTCTGAAATCAATGCATAATTACAACTTCCATGAAGTCCCTACATAAAGTAAATACCAAGCCATTTCAGAGAGGGGGCCAACTGGACAGGTTAGTTTAACCTGGAGTATTTCCTCAGGAGTCTATGCGTGGATCACTGAGTAACCAGGAGTTCTTTGGAACCATGACAGTTAGATCTCCCAAGACAAAGGATCTTGGGATATTTGCAGCCTAGCATGGTTCCTTAAATCACACGTGTTTTTGAAAATGCTCGCACAATTCAAGTCTGGGCTGCCAGCACTCCCTCCCCAGCGCTCTCTGTCCTATGGCTTTCAGGACTGCATTCCAATCTCAGGACCCTAATGGGACCATAACATCTGGTGCCAAAGTCAAGGTTAATTTTCCAAGAATCTCCAGGTCAGAGGATGAAAATAATGTAGTGTCGCCTGTGGTCAGGTCAGTGGACCCTTTTTTGAAACTTTATTAATGAGGACACATTAAGTCAAAGTGAGGCAGAAAGGTTTCTTGGTCTCTTAAAAACCCGAGAGATGAAAATCTCCTATCACAACGATCCAGTGCACAGCTTTCCTGTGAGAGGTGTGGTTTCATCGACACTGGAAATGGAGTTAGAGCTTTAATAGCAAGGTAACAAGGGAGACAGTCTTGCCCCACTTAACACAAAATGTAGCCAAGATTCTTCTCCTCCTTCCCGGGTTTTACAATCCTCAACCCCAGCAACCATTCCTGACCCAACACGACACTAAAGCCTAGAGTTTGGGCCATGCCAAGTTTTGCACATACTGACTGGATGGACAGAACAGCCAGAACACAGTTCACTCATGGAGACGGCATTTTCCACAGACAAATCAGAGGGCATGGTACCAGTGTCTGAGAACCACATTCAGACAGGAGAGCATATCTGCCTTTGCCCACCATCTCACGGAATCCAGACATCACAGTAAAAAAAATGGTAAAACCAGGCTCAGGAAAAGAGGTTTTGCAAAGTCCGGTCCCTGGTGGCAACTAGCAGTGGCACGGGTGGAGTGAGGGCATCCCCACCAAGTCATATCCCTGCTTTGAGACTCATTAACTTCAGAGAGAAGATCATCCATGCTGAGTCTCAGGCAAGCCCCAGGTCACCATAGCCGTCGGGCTCAGAAACAGACAGTACCAGGACCACTGCCCTCAAAATGAGAAACTAGCCCCCACCCTTCACAAACCCCTGAGTGAAGGAAGCCTGGTTCGGGAAACATAGATCGACCCTGTGATTGCCACATGCCTTGGCAGAGCAGCCAGCTCAATCAGAAATTGTGCAGCGTAAGGAACTAGCGACCTCTCCACTAACCCTGGTTTGCTCCAGTGCACACACCCGCACCCCGTCCCTTGTCCCCCAGCCCAAACAAATCATTATTTCGTAGAATGGCAGTTCCCTACCTGAGGGTGGCGCTCTCCCCCTGCCTGACCGTCACGTTGTCCATAGCTTTGGGAAAGGTGGCATCTCCGCTGCGCACCGGCACTCCTGTGGGTACAAGGAACAGCAGCCTAAGAGACACGACCACGAGGCACTTCCAGGGCAGGAACAGGTACCCACAGACCCCCATTCTCGACAGTCACAACTTCCCAGAACTCCGGCAGCGGCACGCACACGCCCCCCGGGCGAGCACAGGAAGTGGGTGGGGTGGGGAGTGAGCGCGGGGACCTAGCGATGAACTAGCGGCGACCGCGCGATGCACTGGGAGGAGGAAAGCGCGCAGACTCCTCCAAGTCTAATATTCCTCCCTCAAATCCAGCCTCAGCTCGCCAGACTCCAAGAACCAGTTTCCACGGCACGCATCCGAGGCGGACTTTCTCCGTGCTGCCTGTGGCCAGGAAGGTGGCTAGGAAGGAGAAGCGCAAGGCAGGCAAGCAGGCGCACAGGTGCTGGTCTCAGGAGCCGCCTCTTTCCTGTAGCAGTTCAGGCATGGCACTTTGGACAGGAGTAAGCACTTTGGTATCCAACAGGGCTGTGGCTGGGTTGCATCCAGCTACCCAGATGTGGTCTGCGATTCCTCAGCCGAACAAGAGGAAATCCAGCACTTTCTTAAGTTTCAGAGCAAGGCTCGCCGCCAGAAACAATTTGGAACAATAGCAGATGGAAAGTAGAGCACGCAAGAGGCGGCACGGATGGTGCAAGGAGGCTACTGCTAAGCCGGCTTCGTGCAATCCCGGACTCCAGAATCCTGCCACAGAGCCTCGGTCAACTTCCTTGGAGCCCAGATGCGCGCCGCAGCCTGGGCTGTCTCTGCAGCGCAGCAGCAAGGCTGGAGCGGCCGGGCAGGGCGGACCTTAGCGGTCCCTCGCCTGCTCTTTGGCTCGCTGCAGAAGGCGAAGCGCAGTAGGCACCGGAGCCGCGGACGCCACGCTCAGCGGCCGCCCCCGGCCTCCGCGCCGCCTTCCTCCCGGG